ATCCGGGTAACAAAATTTGTGCGAGTGCGCAAATCAGTTACACTTTCCAGCTCGTCCTCCACAGGCGCCATAGTAGCCTTCAGATCAGTAACTTACCTTTCCAGTCGCTCCCTTTCACTCTCCCACAACTCTGTCGAGCAGAAGGATGCCCCATTCCTCGAGAGCTTTGTCAGCTCTCTCTTTCTCCCTCGCCAGAGAATCAGCCTGTTCCCAAAACATATCTTCGCTTCATTCAAGGGCGATCTTTAACTTCTGCGTCTTTGCTTGAAGAGTCACGTTCTCTGACTCCAGTTCCTTGACCCGACCAGAGGAGCTGGCCCCTTCACCCGCGAGGACCACGACCATCTCCTCCATCTTCATCACCCCGACCATACTGGAAGCCAAATGCTTCCTTCGACCTTCATCTTTGAGGCGCCTTATGATGTCAGAATCATTGTCGGACACCGTTAGGGGGAAACCCTCAAAGAAATCCTTCTCCACAAGCAAGGAGGGAGGCTGAAAGCTCAGGAAGTCGCCCCTCCGGTCACACCAGTAGCCCCATCTACGGGGCGACTCCTTTTCCTTCCCGACACAACAACTTGTTGGTCGGCACTACGGGTTCCCAACGACCCACTGGATCCGTCCTTGGCCAGCTCGGAGACTGAACCCATGCGTGTAGGCTGATGCGGCTTCACCAACCTCTTATTGCTTTTCTTCTCCTGGGCCAGCTTCAATAGGCTCTCACGATGTTCCGCCATGTTTCCTGCAAAAACAAAAACGGTATCCTCAGGTCAGCCTCGGGGAAACAAAACAAAAGAAAGCAAGTAAAAATATAAGAACCAAGCAAGTAAAAACCTAAAAGTTCCACGGCCTATCCATAAGATCGACACTCGACCAACGCCTTGGTGTTGATCGGGCGAGCCTCAAACATCGACTCACCATCTTTGTCAAGGATGTCGTGTCCTTCCCTCGTGACCCACCTGACAGGGAAGAATCTGCCGACGAACCGATTGAGGACGCCGTATGCTTCTCCGTCTTCAGCGCTCATACCGCCGGCAGAAGTATGGTAATATCTGGGACCATGATCATAGTGGCCCGAACGCCGGTGGATGGGAAACTTCGATACTTTCTCGATCTTCAGATTTCCCTCGGTGTCGTAGCACGGTTCCCCATCCTCGTCCATAACAGAAGCCGGGTCAAACATGGCGTCCACAAGTGTTTGAGTAGAGGGTTGCAAGACATACCACCTATCTTTAAAATCCCGGACAAAATCCATATACATCCTGAACAGCCTCTTCGACTGTTTTAGGGAGACCCAATAGTGTTTCCCTCTCCGGGACTACCGTTGCAGGTGAAAAACCCTGAAGAACAGGGGAATAGTCACCCCGATCCTCAGGAACCGGAAAGTAAGTTCAAACGCCCGGATGAAGGCGATAACATTAGGATGAAGCTGAAAGGGTGCTAAGTTCAAGTGATTGAGCACCCCCACTTGGAAATCATTGAAGGGAAGTCGAAGTCCCAAGTCTTTAAACACGACCTCGTACATAGGGAATGCATCATGGGTGAACTCCGAGCATGTGCGAGCAGCATGCATCGGTCTCATGATTTTGAAGATCCTTTGGAAACCTTCCTGGTCGCCACCATACTCGATGATCGTTACACTTGCCTCCTAGTGTGACTATAGATCGAGGCTATCCCCCGAGGCTCTGCACCAACCCAATCCAAAGCAGGATCGTCGATTGTGTCGACCAAATTGACGCCCTCCTCGGATACACTGGTCTCTTCGGTGTCCATATGCTCTGACGATTCAGGAGTGTCAGCCATTTACCTGTAAAGTAGAGGAAACCGGTGAATTTGACAGCAAATCCAAATCCACCTTTCCACGATGCAGATGAAAAGGCTAAGCAACGCCCAAACCAAGTCGACCGTCATTCACGCAGAAAGGGGAAATATGTGGCTCTCGGTCAGCCCATGAAAATCATGACAGTCTTATAAGACCACATGAAGATCGTAACGCACAATGGTTGTAGCAGTGAACACTTTTTTATGAATACCCCGGGCACGGGAAGAGTGCGTCGAGCATAGTATGAATCTGCCGACCAAACTCATGAACTTGTCAACCAAACTCATGAATTCACCGGGGATCGCAGCAGTTTTATGTACAAAAATCATGAGTATCGTGAGGATATAGGGAGACCACGTGGATGATTCATCTAAACATCAAGCATAGAATGAATATCACGGGCATAATAATAAATTATACGCCTAGACACATGGATCCCCCAGGAAAAACCCCCCAGTTGCGAAGTCCTACTACTAAATCATCATCAAAACCAATTTACATACAGAGTATCACGGAAAAAAATACTTACTTGAAAAAGATTGGATGAAGAACGACGGTGGTAGGTGAGGAACACATAACTGACGGTGCGGCGGCTTCAGCGGTTACAGAGAACGACACGACATTGGCAGCATAGAGAATGAAGAGCGCGAAAATATAAATATGAATAATGGGCCTTGAGGCGCTATTTATAGAGCTGACATGGAATGTGAAGCGTCGCGTCGGGCAGCTTACCAGCCGCCTTTCTCCTCGACACCTACGTGCTTAGTCAATGATGGCCCATATTTCCTAGGCCATCATTACTATCCCAAAGGTCACGCCACGTGTTTGATAAGAGTGGTGTCTCCTCCCCGCGAGTCGAGAAACATTTAGAATGATTTCATCCTGAGTTCTTTCCGAATGCTGCTCAGGTAAAACTGCATACCGACGACCCTCTTTGTTAATTCAGTGAAAGTTCCGCGTCGAGCAACTCACCTCACGAAGGAAAAAACTGGACTAAAGTCATAACTCCTTCATCAGGAGCAACAACTTGGGGGGCTCCTGTTCTGGATTGGGCTTGCCCTTGGCCCAACTCCATGTGAGGCTCAACCCAATTATATCGGTCAGGACATACTGGCCAGCTCTTCCCTCGAGGAGGTAACTTCCACTTCACCGCGAGGAGGCCACCTCACCGCACGGGGATGAACACACTTTGTTTGGGGAAGGTCACCACCGGCCAGAGGGACCTCGAGGTCAACCTCTGATTCCCTTCCCGGCCAAGAATGTGTTCATTGCACGAGTTCGCGTCTGGCAGGGAGCATCCACGACCTCTGGGACCAACATGGGCACCTCGCGAGCGTCCTCCTCGTAGGGCTGAATGTGACGTCTTTGAATATCACAGAGTCTTCGTGGCCCCTAAAAGACCGTATCCATATCCTCCTGATCTTGTAGAGGAAGTCATCCAGGTGGGGGACTACGTGCGGGTCCCTACTACTCACATAGGACCTGACAGTCTCCACTTTGGGCCTGCTTGACCAGTCTAATGAGGAGACCTTGGTCCACTGCTGGTGGCTATAAATACCCTCTCTTTCGAGAAGGTCGGGTGAACATTTCTTACTCTCATATTTGCTTGCTCATTCCGAAATTTACTTTGATATCAGAATGTCTTGCAGGTACCCCCACCTCACTCTCAAATTCTACTCGGAGCAAACTGTGACGGTCAATCCTGATCAGGTACGATCAATAAATTTTAATTTATTTAAGAGATTAAATTCAAAAATAATTATAAAAATAGCTTATATAAAAAATTTGAGAAAATATATTTGTAAAAATTTAGTGTTTGAATATAAAATAATTGGATAGATATTTCAAAATATAAAATATAAAATTGCGTGACAAGATAAAATAAATAAAGAAAAATCATAAAAGGAAGTAAAAATACTTTGTAATTTGAATGTTTGAATTGAGATCAACAATTATAATTTTGAACCCCCCGTCACATAGAAGAAAGTTATTTACATACTATATATTCAATAACCATCAACAACAAGCAAATCTCCTGCATTTAATATATATACTATTACGTAGTCTTTTGTCCTTTACTTTACTTTCAACTCTCTTTCATTTTTAAACTGCTGCAAAATCATTATTTCTCTTGAAAAAACATCCTCAAATCCTCCAACTATTTCTATCAAAAATCAATTTGTTTACTATCGAATTTCTATAATTTTAACGTCAAAAACATGATTTAACTACCAATGTCTAGTCTATATATTTATCTCGCATTTCAATTATATGATAAGAAAAAAAATAGATACAAAAAATAACTTACAATGAAGAATATAATAGTTTAAAATTTTACACCATGGTCAAATCATTTTTTAGTTTATAAATCTTTAAAAATATTAATAAATATGATAAATGAACTTGTTTTAGTTACTTTTTCAATCAATACTTGTTTGAGGAGTGCTAACAATATTTAATACTTTCTCAAATATTTATTTTTTTATTGGTTAAAATATTTGTGAACTATTTACTTTGAAAGTAGATCTCACATAAAACGTAAGATCCATACGTATATGTTTAATCAATGGAAAAAGTAAATGTTTGAAAGAATATTAAAAAGAGAATCTTCTTAGTCTTTCTGATAGTTGTTTTAGTTTACAAAGAAAAAAAAATTGAAAAGAAAGTATGGGATAATTAACATGAAATAAAAATATTAAAAAATATAAAAAGAAGCAAGAAATTAATGTTTTAAAGAAAAAGGTAAAAAAGAATAAAAAAGGGTTAAGTTGAATTTGATAGATAAATTGATTTGGTTATTAATTGGCGTGAATCTGTGATCCAAGCGAGCATCACCGAATCGTAATTGTGGTACTCCCATAACGTGTTTGTTAAAAGTACTCAATTACCTTAATCACAATCAAATCAATTTTCATTTCATTTCTGTGTAGGTTTTGTTCCTTTAATCCCTAATTCGCATTCATAATTCTTAGGTTTAATGCTTGTTTTTTCAGAAATTCATCTTTTTTTTCTCCAGATTTGCAATTACTTGTTTGTTTTCTTATTCATTTCTGTGTTTGTTCTGAAATCGTTGCAGTTATAGCAATTATCAAGTGTTAAATGTTAGTGGTTGCTGCTGCTTGGTTTTTCCAAGTATATCCTCATATATTTGCTGGGAATTAAGTGGGGGAAGTAATCCATGGTAAACCCGAAAGGGTCTAATCAGTCTAAAATATGCTATAGGCCTATTCGACCTTCTGATCTTGATGTTTTAGAGCGAATTCATGCTAGATTATTTCCCATCAGGTGAGATCATGTTGTTGTTGTTGTTGTTTTATTGGGTTTAATTATGAGCTTTTGAACTTGTGTTTGCTTAATGATCTTTATGAATCTCAGGTATGAATCTACTTTTTTTCAAGATGTGGTCAATGGACGGGATATTGTATCGTGGGGAGCAGTTGATCTTAGTCGACCGAATGGCCAAAGTGACGAACTCATTGGATTTGTAACTGCGCGGATTGTTCTTGCCAAAGAAAGTGAGGTTGACCCCCTTTACATATAATAACTGTATGATACTTGAACCATGCCATGAAGAATTTGTCTGTTCTTTGTTTAGACTACCATTACATACTCAATGTAATATTTTATTCCTTAGTTTCCACAGTTTGTTTAGATGGCTTGATCATTTTATTAGTCTGGCGGGAACCGACAACTAAACGGACCATAAATCCATTAGCTTACAACCTTACTAAATCACTCATTTCGAGTTTGTATTTTTAATATTCTTGAAGAAGCAAACAGAACAAAAATAACTATTATGATGCACTTATGAGTAGTTGTTGTGTATTTATGATGTTAACCTATTAGAAATATATGTCGCAGTGGTGTGTAAAAAATTGCTTGTGTTTATATTGTTTGTAAGTTTGGACAGAGAAAATCAGAGTACTATCTGTAGGAGTCAATCTGTCATATAACTTTGGGTCTGGCACATCAAGTTGTATTACGTGTAAATCGTGAGATTCAATAGCATTTATCAATTCTATAAAAAAAGGAACATTAACCAACAATTTACCAATTTGGGTTCTATAAGTTTTGGTCCAACCTACTAGATCAAAAGGAGAATATTTCATATGCCAATAAATGTAGTATTAAACCGTGACTTAGGTGTCTAAAAGAGTGGATATATTGGAGGAATGGATGGATAGTAGGGAGACTGAATTGAATATCTATGGAGATTCTAATTAAAAGTAGAGCAAGTCACAGTTCCATTAACTCGCGCCACATTTATCTTGAATCTTAAGATTGATAAAACAGAGAGGGTTTGGGGTGGGGGTGATATTAGTAGATAGACATCAAGTGGTGACTAGAGGAAAATGTGTTGATTGATATTGCAATTAGGGAATACTAGATTACACTGGATGCTTATTTGTTGGATTTTGGGACTGAGGTGTAGATGTGATACTTGGAACTGCATCACCGGTAGCATTCGAAAGGTATGCGTGAATTGTATAGAGATGTCTATGGATTTCAATCATAGTGAACAAAAGGTGAAATTACAGAGGAAAACAACAGTGGGGAAGTTGAGTGAAGAGAGGTGGGGGGGCTGCTTTCAATTGTATTTTGAGGACTCAACTATTCTTAGGGTAATAGACAGAAAAGGGAACAAAACAGCCGACTTAGTTTTTGTCTACAAAAGGAGTTGAATATGTTATTGGAGGATTATGCAGGTTTTCATGGAGTTGGAATTTGGAAGGGCTTCCTTCTCGCTGGGATGTGGTTCATTTTATCACATTGCAGCATGGGGATGGTCTAGCGAATGTATGATCTTATAGGCACCTCAACGTCACAAAAATGAAATAGGGGAATAGTGAAGTCAATTTGCTACAAGATATAATTCTGTCCAATTTTAGTACATTCTCTATGTATTATTAATTAAGAAAAAAGATACTTCATGGAGAACTTGTATTTATTGAAGAGCAATAAATAAGAGTCTGTGTGATAACTGGATAAGTACACCTTAGTTGAGTGTTAGTTGATGATGAGCTATATGATGCTGTATATTATTCTAAATTGGATCACAGGTCAGATTATCATCATATTTGGGATAATACGGAGTAATCTATCTTGATGTATCATCATATTCTCTAGAGTTAAATGGACTAGAGAATGATCCATCAACCTACAACCCATCCACCCTTTTGGAACGTGTCAGTGTATTCTACAAGGAGAAAGTGACTGAAATATCTGTCATAATAGCAGTTATAAGTAGTTATGCATTAGGAATAAATGTTGTAGTGGTGCTTGAAAGTAGTTGTATGTGTTGATAATTTCTGCTATTATGGTAGTTACAGGCAGTTACGTACTAGCCTATTAGGTATATACATTGTAGTAGTGTGTAAAATATAGGCTTTGTTATTATTTTGTTGGATAGGGAATGCTCTATGTTGGAGTCACGACTTTGGGTCAATTTTTCTTTGTTGTCCTGTGTGTGAATTGTGCGATCTAATAACATTAGTCACCTATTTATTTGTTGGTCGTTTGGTGCTAAATTTAAGTTATTGTCTTACTCGATTTTTTTCCATGAATATTGTTCTTGTAGATAGTAGATTTGCTTGGATATGACTCGGCCAAATCTGATCAGACTTTAGTGTACGTTCTAACACTGGGAGTAGTGGAAGCATATAGAAGCCTTGGAATAGGTATTATTAGTTTTTGTTTTGTACTTAAATTTTGTTGAAATCCTCCAGTAATATATAATTGACAGTCTAATCTGTGCCTCATCACCAGCTTCTTCTCTGATTCGGGAGGTTGTAAAATATGCTTCAAGCATTCCCACATGCCGAGCGGTTTACTTGCACGTAATTTCTTTCAATATCTCAGCAATCAATTTATACAAGAAAATGTCTTTCAAGTGTGTTAGAAGGCTGCGGGGATTTTATTTCATCAATGGCCAACACTATGATTCATTTTTATTCGTGCACTACGTAAATGGGGGACGGTCTCCTTGTTCGCCATTGTAAGTTCAATATTTCCAACTTATATGTTCGGACTGATCTTACATGTTTTGTCTAAAATGAATAGATTGTGATAGAATTTTAATTTCCATTTCACATTTCAGAGAGTTTCTCTCTACAATAATAAGCTATATGAAGAGTGGCTTTAAGGCAGTGGCTGCGAGGCTGTGCAAGAACGAAGTTAGGAAGATCTCAAGGTGGGAAAAGTGTAAAGAGAGTCATTCTCTTGTGTCACTCTCAACAATGCCCAACAAAAGAAACATGGCTGTCGAGTGTACTTGTTGTGAGTTTGTATAATTTTTTCTTGTTAATTTTATGTTTCCTATATTATTCAACCTCACTTATAATTCTCTCTAGAAAGGTGCCAAAATTATAGTGCTTACTATATGTAACTGTTCTGTCAGAATAAATGCAATCCAGAGAGATGAAACCAAAAATGTAGGCCATGCATATATATACCATGTAAAAAGTGTTTCAACAAATTGTTTTAGACCATGGGTTGGCTCCTATTCTTTTAGAAGATACATTGGTGATTAAGTGTGTGCAATAAGAACTTGTGATTCTGTTGACTGTTATCATAATTGGCAGATAGTGTTGGATTAACTAAAGTTGCTTGGTATGGCAGTGGAATGAATTGAGTCTAGCAGAATTGAATTTGGTAGAATTAATTCTAACAGAATTGAGTTTAGTATAATTGATTTATGTTTGGATACAATTATGTAAAAGTGAGTTGAATAATTAATTTCAGTGTAAAAATTACTCAGAATCAATTTGGAGGCAGAAGCTACAAATTATAGTTTCAAGTAGAATCAATTCTATTTTTAAAAAACCAAACCCCTCAATATCACTCATAATCAATTCTACATCTCTAGAATTGATTCTGAGTCTTCATGAAGTGAAACCGAACATACACTTAGTGTGTTTGAATTGATTTTGATCAAAATTGGTTTTAGTTAAAAGTGACTTTAAGAGAAATTGATTTATGTTTGGATGTTATGCAAATAAAAGTGATTTTATGAATTGATGTTGTTTGAAAAGTTTTAAATCCAAATTAATTTTGAATGTGTAATGACGAAATTAACCTTTTACTTGTGTAAATATCTCATTTTTCTTTTAAGTAATTATTTAAATTTATGTTAAAAGATTAATTTTGAAATAATTGTATTGTATAAGATCAATAAAAAAAGATATTCAGAAATATGGAACTTATACGGCCAAAAAAAGAAGATTGTCACCCTCTCGATCTATGTCAAAAAGGAATAGAGCACTTCTTATTAAATAAAAATATCAAGCACTGTGTCAACTCTGTGAGTTAGTCACCAACTGGACGTATAAAGTGAAATGAAAAAGATCATATAAAGTGAAATGAAAATGAAAAATCATTAGAAGAAACTCTTAACGACTTTTGTGATGGAAGAAAAAGAGAATAAAGGAAAATAAAGATTGTAATAATAAAGGAAAATAAAGATTGTAATATTGAATTGAATAGTAACAATTTATAAACTAGTTTATTTATATATAATTAATTTGTACATTAACAAATATTAATTAGACTTGGGTTCAGATTATTCAATTTGGATTATATTTAATATTATATAAAATATTTTAACATATTCTTCATAATTCAAGTTGTCGAATTTACAATAATAAATTTATGAATTTGTCGATCTTTAATCTTTTGGTAAAAATATCGGTCAATTGTGCTTCACTTGAGCAGTGTTTAACCTCAAGTTCATATCGATTCATCTTTTTCCTCAAGAAGTGAAATTTAACTTCAATATGTTTACTTCTTCCATGTAAAATTGGATTCTTCGACAGATTTACGGTTGACTTGTTGTCGATTTGCAACATAAGAGGTTTCTTCACTTCGACCTTCATTTCTTCAAGTATTGATCTGATCCAAATTGCTTGACATGCATAATAGGATCCTGCTATGTATTTAGTCAGTTTCACACGATGATAATGCCACCACAAGTTGCTTTTTGAGCCCCATGAGATTGGAGCACCAAAGACTTGAAAAAATATTCAGTTGTGCTTCTTCGATCTTCCTTATCTCCACACCAATTAGCACCTAAAAAACAATTAATTGCTACTTCTTTTGCCTTCAGAGTATTGTCGAAATAGAATTTCATAGTCCATCAATCCTTTTAAGTATCTCATCATTCTTCTTGCAATCTTCATGTACGACACCATTGGTTCACTTATGTTTCTGCATACTAATCTGACTGCGAAACCTATATCAAGTTGATTGTTGCATACATATCTCAGAGATCCAACTATTTGTTTAAACAAAGTTATATCGACTTTGTCTTCCTCTTCATGCTTCTCCAACTTCATATTTGGTTCGAAAAGCGAAGACGCTGGAGACGAATAATCCATCCTGAATCTCTTGAGTATCTTTTTGACATACTTCCTTTGATGTAGCATCATACATTGCTTCGACATTTAAAATTCCATACCCAGAAAATAAGACAATTTTGCCAAATCTGACATTTCAAATTCTCTCATCATCAGCTCTTTGAACTTCGACAAATTCTCCAAGTTATTTCTAATTACCATTCAGTCATCGACATATAAGCAGGTGATTGTTGTATCTTGTACCGCAACCTGAACATCGACACCATACTCAGACTTGTATTTTACAAATTCCAATTCGACTAAGTATGCGCCGATCTTCTTATTCCATGCCCTAGGTGTCTGTTTGAGGTCATAAAATGTTTTGTGTAACTTATATACTTTACTCGCTTTCTTATGAATCAAAAACTCTGGAGGTTGTGTGACATAGACCTCTTTGTCTAAAATACTATTCAGAAATGATAACTTCACATCTAAGTGAAATATCGACCAACCTTGGTTGTATGCCAATGCTACCACTAGTCGAACAGTCTCTAATTTTACTACTGGAGAAAATACTTCAGAGTAGTTAAGTTCCGCTCTTTGAAGAAAACCTCGAGCTACTAATCTTGCTTTATGTCTTGCTATCTACCTGTCAACATTGTGTTTTAACTTGAACACCCACTTTACTTCGATAACTTTTGTATGTGCTAACAACTCGACTAACTCTCATGTATTGTTTCTTTTGATTGCTTGTAAGTCTTTGACCATAGCAAACTTTCACTGTTTAATCTTCAAAGTATCACTATAGTTGATTGGTTCATCATCTGTAAGTAAAGCAAAATGAACTAATTCTCCATCTGGTATGACTTCATCACCAACCACTTTATAATCATGAAATCTTGTTGGACGAACTCTAACTCTTTGAGGTATTCAGCTTGTGCTAGCCACACCCTCTTTGACTTTGACTGTTGTTTCAATTATTATAAATAATATTATCTATCACTTTTGTTAGTAAGAGAAGAAGACAAAATAAAAAAAAATTTAATCTTATTTAGAGTGATAAATGTAAAAATTCCTTTGAGTTCTTGAAATTTAGAAGACCTTTGGACGATTCTAAGGGGATTGAAAAAACACTTGTAAATATCTTAAAATTTTGTGATCCATATATAAAGAGTTTAATTGATTGAGAAAAACATAGGTGAAAGAATATGGTTTGTTCTTGGGAACTTGTGATATTATTTTCTTATAACTCATTTGTAATAATTTGTAATAATTTTTGGAAGTATAGTGAAATTAGAGAGTTTCTCTCTCCCATAAAGTAGATTAGTTTGATCAAACTCGATAAACTAATTATGTGTACTTGTCTTTTATCTTCATCTTATTTGTTGTGAATTCGCTTGGCAGGTTGTTTTGTTGCATGATGTAATCTATTTTGGTTTTCATTATTTTGTTTTCCACATAGTAAAGGACTTGGTGTGATTAAACCTTTTAATTTCACAACAAGGGTGCCCATCATGAGACAAAGTGGTTAAGTTTACAATTGTTTACCATGGATTCTAAATGGTATTATTGATAATATTTTTGGAGACAACAATTTTGTATTGTGAAAAGTGATTATGCAAGCAATCTTAACTTAAAATAAGTGTGTAGAAGCATTGAAGGGTGAGGTATCGATGCATGCATATTAAACACAAACAGAGAAGACCGAGACAATGGATAAGACCATGAATTTCATTATCTTGTGCTTTAGGGATAAAGTTCTAAGTGAAGTCACCATGGACAAGACAGTGGATTCCATGTGAGTAAGGATTGAATACTTTTACATGAACAAGTATTTGACTCACTGGTTGTGCCCCAAAAGATAACTCTACTCATTATAATTGTAGAGAATAAATCCATAATGGAGCAATTGATAGGATTTCATAAGATCATTGATAATTCAGAGAATATTGAAGAAAAAATTAATGATGAGAACAAAACTCCACTCTTGTTAATCTCGTTACCATCTCCTTTGAAGACTTCAATATTGTCATTCTTTATGGTAAATAATATACTATTACTTTTGGATAGAGCCAAGACGATTGCAAGATCCAAGGAATTTACAAAGATGGAATATTTGAAGATTGACAATAATTGTGAAGGTTTGAGTGTCTTAAGAGGAGAAAACAGGTTGTAAAAATCCAGGAAGTTTGATAACTCTAGGTTAAATATGCTTTGTTTTTAAAAATATTGGCTACTTCAAAAAGGATTTTTCTAGGATAGAGGACAATGGAGGTTCCATACAGATTGTAATTTCTTCAGATGATGATAGTTATGAGAGTGTTGGTGCACTAGTGGTGTCAAATTTGGAAATTAAAAATAGGTAGGTCTTTTACTCAATATAATCTTATCACATGTGGACAATGGTAGATTACTTTGAGAGTTTGAAGATAGAAAATGGTGGAGTCGTTTAACTCATTAATAATTAGGCTTGCAAGGTTCATGATGTTAGTACACTAAAACCATATTATATAAGGCTTCTTATTGGTCATGATAAAGGTTCTTATTGATCATGATAGTGAAATCTTATATTATATTTTAAAATATAATATTTGAGGTCAAGGAATGATAGACGCCTAAAGGTTATTTTAGATCATTTTAGTTAATTTTGCAAGAAATAAGCAATAAAGAGACATTTGACCGCTTATGAGATGATGCTAGAAGCTAAGTTGCTAGAGTTTTTGGGGGTAAGGTTGGTTTCAGAACAACTTACTTGATCGACATATGTCCATTCATAAGAATAGCCTTACATACACTTATAGGAATTTAAAGTATGAAACTCGTAGACAACTCTAATTTGAAGGTCTTCAAAGCTTTGCCAGTTGTAAAAGTCAAATTAGTCAAACTTTATGTCAAAGTTATGAAGTGGGTCTTCAATGATTATTCAAAATGTGAAAATATTTATAAGTTATGGAAAGTAG